TTTGTCCAAACTCTTAGAATGTACAACAACAATGAACTGTTCCATGAATTATGAACTCTTGGATGATGTCAATGATGAAGATGATGATACATCAATATGGGTTCATTTGCTTTAACATAGGTACCATTCTGGAGAGTGATGTTAATAATAGGTGAGGTAATGCATGTGTGGGACTGGAGAAAATGATAAATATCTGCACTTTCCTCTTAATTTTGTTGTAAACCTGAAACTGCTCTAAAAAACTAAATCTTAAAACAAAAAAGTAAGAGAGAGGATGGGAGTTAATACTAGATCCATTTGTTAAGATGGAATTCATACTGACAAGAAATGTTTTAGTCAGCAAGGTGAGGAACACAGGGCCTAGGTAGGGAATGTACACATACAGCTGACAAAATTGTCATCACAATTCTGAGAATAAACAGCATGTGAAGAAATGGACAGAGCTTGACAGCAAGAAGCCTTGGCTAGCCCCTAGAATATCCAGGCTTATGGCCTCTCAGGCACACAGGAAGGTAGAATGGACATGGAAAGGATACCAACATTCTGTCTGTCACAGTTGAGTGGCAGGTAGACCACGGATCAGGAGCCCATGTTTTCAAAACAGCACTAAGATAGTGATGAGAAGTGGAAGTGGAAAATTATCGTGTTTTATTTGCCACTTGGAGAGCAGCGTGAGAGACAAGAATGCCCTTGTTCTAAGTCGTTCCACCCGTAATGATTGATTCCCGATGGCATTCCAGTTCTTTCTTGGTTGATATTTTCCTTTTTCCGACCCAGTCTATCACAAATGTTTAAAGTCCTCTGATTTTAGTGATTTTATTTCCTAACTATAAAAATAGTATATATTCAATTTAGGCCACTTAACTCAGAAAAACGTAAATGGGCTTCATTATCTTCAAGCAATGACTATTTCCAGAAAAACAAATTGGAGAATAATCGCTCCTTAAAGACAAGTTTATTTATACTCTCTCTTTTGTTCTCTGCAAATGCCTTACTAAAATGGCATTTCCACTTTACAAGGTCTGTATATTTTATCTGGTTTCATATTTATTCAACTTTCTCTTCACTAAGCATGTGGCTGGGAAACACCCCATCTTCTCTCAACTGGGCTTTCTTCTTTGTGAAAACCTGTTTAATAGACTATTGAAAAAGTAGGAGAGTCTTTCTGTTGCTGTAATTAGTAGTTGTGTATTAGTTTCTGATCGTTGCTATAATAAATCACCACAAGTCTAGTAGCTTAATAACATTTGTTTTCCCTCTTGTAGTTGCAAAAATAAGAAGTTTAAAATCAAGGTGTTAGCAGGGCTTTTTCCTTCTGAAAATTTCAGGGCAGAACCCATTTCCTTGCATTTTCCAATTATTAGAGGCCACCTGCATTTCTTGGCTTCGGGTTCCTTTTTCCTTTCTCCCTCCTCAAAGTGTATCACTCCAACTTCTTCTAGCTTCACATCTTCTAATCTCTGACCCTACTTAATTACCTCCCTTTTATCAGAATTCTATGATCATATTAGAATCATCCAGATATCCAGGATAATTTCCCCATTTCAAGGTCCTCAACTTAGTCACATCTGAAAAGTCCCTTATTTTCTAATAAAATCACATATTCGCAGGTTCCACTGATTGGGATGAGGACATCTTCAGAGGCCTTTATTTTATCATAACATGGAATATGCAACTTTTATCATCAGGCCTTTTTAAAACATAAATTAAATATGTAAAATGGAATAAAATTGGACTGAAAAATTCACAAACTAAGCCTAAAATAACTTAAAAACCTTTACAATTCTAGCATTCTAGATTATTCTTTTCCTTGGCCACAGATTAAAAAATATTTTTAGCACAAATCACAATAAGACAATCTATATTGCAAACATATTAAGTTTTACTTTTTCTTGAAGATAAAATATTTTCTGTAGAAAAAATAAGTATCTAAAAATGAGAATATATAATACATGTATCTGTATTAAAATTGTTCAGTAAATTCAAGTAAATATTTTTAAAATGTATTTGTTTCAGGTAACTTAATCAGAAACATTTTATGGGCTTTTCAATCACTGACATAAATAATGAACATAAAAGAGCTGAAAATCTATCCCAAATCATATATAAAATATGTCAACAGAATGCTATACAGAGATATAAGGAGGTTCAGAAGATATTTAAGTATTAGAACCAACAAAACATATTTATCTATAGGAGCTGGAAGTAGGGGAAAGAAGAATTAAAAAAAAAGAAAAAAGATTCCTAGATAGTGCTATTAACCAGAATGAGACGCTTAAAATCGGAAACAATTTGACAGACAAAAATGTCTGTTTTCTGTTCTGATGTTGAACTATCTATGGAACATCCAGGCTGATATATTCAAGAAGTAATCATGAATCATTCCACCCCATCCCAGCTTCTCTCTTCATAGCCATCCATCTCCACTCTGAGACTGCAAAAGCTAAAACAGCTTTCTAAAATACTCTGTTTTTACCCTATTGATATAAAATAGGCATGTCCAATTAGATGTACATATAGAACATTTCAAATACACAAGAGAGTTGGCTAGAGAGACCATCTTTCAGTTGATTGGCTCTTCCCCCACCAACTGTAATTGTGATGACATTGAATCCTAAAGCAATCTAGTTCCCATCTTCCATGCATCAAGAAGCGGGGGCGCAGGTAGAAAAAACATTTTGGTACATGGATCAGAGCTACAATTGTGCATTCTTTAACTCAACAATTCTTGCTGTGACTTCTAGGGTCTTAACCTTGCGCTTACACCTCCAGTTCTTCCAAAGATTTTAAAAGCATCTGATTAATGAATTGAATCCTTTTCTGTTAAAAAATATATAGAATGATTCTGGTACACTGAAAAAAAATTTAAAAAATTAAAAATAAAAAAAATATATAGAGAGAGAATGGAAAATGTTTCCTGTTAATAGTCCTCAACTAATAAAATTTGAATGGAAGTTACCCTATGCATCTGGATTTTAAAGCAAATAATAAAATTGAAGGTACACAATTGGAAATCATGAGAGTATAGATCTCAGTGATGGATAGAAAATTGAATGAGGTCATCCTGGAAGTGTTACATGCACTGAAACATTGCAGAGCTTTGATTCCATAGCTTTCTCTATCTTTGTATGGCACTGAAGACAGAGAAGCTGGCACTGAAAGAGAAAGTAAAATATCAAGTCTTACAGAAGATTTCAAATCTGTTTCAACATTTCCTTTTCCATTATTTTACAAATTTCCTCTTCACTGTTCCTCTGTGTTTTCCAAACTCTCATTATCTCTTGACGTGGTAACCCTATTTCCAGCTTCATTTGCCTATGCTGGGCCAACCATAAACCTGTTTGAATATGCATACTCTCTAATCATGAAATTATTCCCTTATTCACTGTTTGAAATCATTTCTTGTCAAACTGTAAGCCAAGACATTTTCAGTTATTTTATTTCTCTATTCTTGATTTTAGACAGCTGAGCAATTATGTGGAATTTTGCAAAATCAAACTCATCCAGCTCTCTACAAATTCATATCATCTAATATCAAATGTTCACTCAGCAGTGCTTGATAAGCATTGTGCTAAGGTTATAACCTAGGTTGTTTCCTATTAATACACACACACACACACACGCACGCATGCATATATATACGCCTTTACTTTTTTGTCTCTGAAAAATATTGTGTTCATTCTTCCCAAGTTAATCCTTCTCTTACTTATCATGTCTCTTTACATTTCATCCTGGATCCATTAATTCATTCAAAATTTTTATTTAAAGACCATAATCCAGGCAATGACCCGTGGGCCAGGATATAATAATAAACTAAATATAGAATATGTGGTATTGCCCTTCTTGGAGCTTGCAAAGAATATACAATAACCATCAAGTTAACCTGTTAACTTTTTCAGGATGCTTTTTTTTGGGGGGGGTATGGGGTTGTCAGGGAAGACTTCTTTGATAAGGAAATATATGCAAAGAGAGCTGAAGGAAAGTCCTCTGTATTTATGTTGCTAAGGGTTTATATTGATATGCAAGAGCTTCTAATATTTAAAACATACATCTTTTTTTTTTAATATGCCTCTATCTCTTATGTGTGTTAAATCTTTACTTTTAACTTGGTTTACAGTATGTTGAATATATATTAGCCTTTCAACTATATAGCCTAATTATCAAACTTTTATGACTTCTAGACTTTTGATGAGGGTTCAGAATAATTTTCTAATCAATAATTTAAAGAGATTAATTAATATTTTTATTTATTTATTTGGCATTTAGTATTTACATTGTATTGTATATTTACTATTTCTTTGTGGTTTTTTTATGCTTAGAACTTGGATCCACTTGTAATTTATTTTGTCCTAAAGTGTAAAATACGGATCCATTTGTATCATAGATGGATGATTAGATGGACAGATATCCAGCTGTTTCTACAGCCATCTTTGAATAATCAGTTCTTTCCATACTGATCTGAAATCTCATCTTTATTCTAAACTAAATTTCTACATATATTTGAGTTAATTCTAAGATTCTTAACTTCTTTCACTGAACTGTAAGATTATTATTACTAAATGTTAAGTTAAATAATATTTAAATATAGTAATTTATTTTAGTAAAAACTGATTAATCCAATGAAAATATGAAGTAATATATAACTAACTTGGCTATACAAGCCTTAGAGATACATAGATGACTTTACTAATAAAGCTTATATTGATCAATATATATCAGAAAACCTTCATGACAGATTATTGTTTTTGTAATTTCTAGTTCTTTATCTGAGTAGAGTTCTCATAACCTTTACAGCTATAATAAGGTCCAGTGAACACAATGTGAATAATTTACAGCATATTTCTTTTTTCCTTTCTTTCTTTCTTTTTTTTTTTTTTTTTTGAAGTAACATTTATGCACAAAACTTTTGTTCCATTTTGGTAAGGCACTTTAGCATATGCTGGTTAAATTCTGTCTTCTTGTTACAGCCTAAATCTGTTTTCATTCAGGTTGTTTGCTTTATGCCTCCAAGCTAAAAAAAGATACTTAAAATCTTGGGAGAAATGATTCACACTCTCTTTGGCAGCTAAAGCTACAATCTTTGCCTTTTGCTCACTCCTTGGAATTTGATGAACTAAAAGATTAAGACAGCCATACCACATGTATAAACCAAATGCTTTTAGTTCTCATACTGACAACACAATTGCATATGGCTTCTCAGAGAAAAGTCACTCATCTCTGTTGTTAAAACTGTTTTCATAGACCAAAAGTGATGGGAACCTGTCTCAGGAATTTTTTTTTTAAGTAATGCATAACAGATTTTTCCTATTGAACAAAATGATAAAGGTCAATTTTCCGTGGTAAATGTGAAACCTAAAGCACACATAATTTCCTAATCTGTTTTTTTTGTTTGTTTGTTTTTTGTTTTGTTTTATTTTGTTTTCTGGATCTCCCTGCTAGGACCCATAAAATGTGATAAAATTTGTTATTGTCAAGGAACATTAATCATGAGTCAAGGATTCACTATGACACACATCTATAGATCTAAGAAAAATCATTACTCAAAGGAAGTAAAATGTAGGTAGTTTGGGTTTCATTATATGCAAGTTGCCTTTAAAATTTACTGAACACTCACTCTGCAGGAAAAAAAAAATGTGATAACCTCTAAGAAGAATTTCTTATTACTATGAGAAATAAGGATAAGGCTAAGATTTAATAAATGGATCCTTTAGTTCACAAACTTTAGGTGTATTATCTTATTGAAAAATTAACAGCACTGTCATGTAAGTGTTATAATGTTGTAAGAATGAGAGGAAAGGGACCTCTGGGTGGTTTGGTCAGTGAGTGTCTGCCTTTAGCTCAGGTCATGACCCCAGCGTCCTGGGATGGAATCCTGCTTCAGGATCCTTGCTCAACAGGGAGCCTGCTTTTCCCTCTGCCTACTGCTTCACCTGCTTGCTTGCTCTCTCTCTCTCTGACAAATAAATAAATAAAATCTTTTAAAAAAAGAAAAGAATGAAAAGAAAGTCCTAGAGAATTCACATCTGCTTCCAGAGGTTGCTACATGGAGTGAAAGAAAACTTAGGATAGAAACCAAAGATCTGTTCAATTCTGGACACTTTGTCAAAAGGTTTTGCAAAACAATAAAACCTCAGTCTCTGGAAGCAGGAGTGTGAATCCTGTAAATGTAACTCACATGTTGACTGAGTTTGGGCAAGATCCTTAACCACTTTAGGCTAATAGAACCTGCTTCATGAGCTTCTGAGGCAGTATGTTTAAGAATGCATAAGATATCTTAAAGCATAAGTATACAACAAAATTGAGCTATTTTCTTTATTGTTGTGGCATTCTTATCCATCGAGTTAACATACATTCAAAGACCTATTCTTGTCCTTAAGGATCTTACAATCAAGGATTTGAACAAGTTGCCTAATAACCACAACACATGGTGTCATCTTATACAATGATAAAGATGAATAACAAAGCTAGAAGAAAGTATTCTACAGAAAGTAAGAAAGAGAAAGATCAGTTCTATGCTGAAAATGAGTCAGAAAGCTGCTTAAGAAGAAATAGAGCTACCCTATGACCCAGTAATTGCACTATTGGGTATTTTCCCTAAAGACACAAATGTAGTGATCCAAAGGGGCACATGCACTCAAATGTTTATAGAAGCAATTTCCTCAATAGCCAAACTGTGGAAAGAGGCTAGATGTCCATCAACAGATGAATGGATAAAGAAGATGTGATATATATACACACACACAAACACACACACATACATATATATATACACACACACACACAACAGAATACTATGCAGCCATCAAAACCCCTGAAATCTTGCCATTTGCAATGATGTGGATGGAACCATAGGGTATTATGCTAAGGGAACTGTCAATCAGAGAAAGACAATTATCATATGATTTTTCTGATATGAGGAATTTGACAAACAAGACAGAGGATCATAGGGGAAGGGAGGGAAAAATGAAACAAGATGAAACCAGAGACGGAGACAAACCATAAGAGACTCCTAATCTCAGGAAATAAACTGAGGGTTGCTCAGTGGAGGGGGGTGGGAGGGGTGGGTGGCTGGGTGATGGACATTGGGAAGGGTATGTGCTATGGTGAGCGCTGTGAATTGTGTAAGACTGAAGAATCACAGATCTATACCCCTGAAACAAATAATACATTATATGTTAATAAAATAAATAAATAACTAAGATAAAATAAAAATAAAATAATAAAAATTTTAAAAATTTAAAAATTAAAAAAAGAAGGAAATAGCCCTGAAATGAGCACTCAAGATTGAAAAGTTCACCAGGTGATAGTGAGGGTGTGGTGGAGGACAACTTTAGGTATAGGACAAAACCACAGTGTAGAAATAACTATTAAAAAATTGTTGAGGAAATGTGTCTTGAGTGGAGCGTATGAATATTGCACCAGTGTTTGTAAAATAATTGGTGAAAATGCAGTTTGGAAATATTAGCTGGGCCAGGATGAGCGGGGCCTCTCTGCCCATTCATGCTATGGTAGGCCAGAAGTATGATCAGGGGCATGACATGCCAGAAAAGTACAATTTGGCACTAAGAATCATTTCCAGACTTGATTTCTCTGAGATTTATATTTTATGTTCTTAATACTTATTTGTTGCCAAATATATGACAGTAGCTAATATTAACATGCTAACATAGCACCCCTTACTTTAACGATATTGTCCTAGACATATGCCACATATTATGGGTATATTAACACAAATTATTTTCTTTATGAGCTTACAGATTCTTTTGACAAGTATTTTGTGAAAGGGAATTTTTTGCCAACTTATTCATATTTGTGGTAAAATTATGTGACCAATAGGAATCTGAGCTACGGGACACTTTTTTAAAAAATCACAACTTAATTATCTTCAAGAATCCCGCGATCTTTTGTTCTAGTCCAACTCTCTCTAATTAGCTACATGACGTGCATCTGTTATGCAGGCTTCAGAGGTGTTTGTTTCAATATTTCTAAACGAATTCTGGACTAAGTGACATCCCTGGTCATTTGTGGCCAAATCTTTATGTGATTGTGGTTACATTAAATACACTTCTAACAGGAATAAGAGAATTAGAAATTAGGGTACATAAATCAGGGAAGTTGAGAAAGGGGCAATAAATGGGTATAAATTCATTTCTTAAAAAAATAGAAAATTTAAGTTTATGTAAAGCTTATAGCATCATATTTCCTATATAAAAGAGGTAACAGCAAAAACTTTCAGTAACTTTCCTCTTAATTAAAAACAGCGTACAATTCAAAAATGCTTCTACTATTTTTAAAAAGAATTTTCCATGTGTGCCAGTTTTATGCTTCCTTCTTGTACTTTGATACTACGTGTTATTAAAGCAGTGCTCTCCAAACTTGAGCGTACTTATAAATCACCTGGGGATCTGGTGAAAGCGGAAATTCTGATTTAGTAAATTGGGCATGAGACTGAGATTCTGTATCTCTAACAAGCATTTAGGTGATGCCCCTGATGCTGTCTGAGGATAACATTCCCTGTAGTAAGGTACTGAAAGACTCTCTCAAGATTTCTTCTTTGAAGGGCTTTGCTGCTCTCTGAGTAGTGGCTGTTATTCATGTTTTCTGAAACCCCCAACTAAAATCCATCAGATCCAGGTGTTGGGCCCCAAACCCTGGAATCATCCTTTCTCTTAGCTCCAATGTCCAAATTTGCTGGAATCACCTTGACACATATTCAGAATATGACCATTTCTATCTTCTAACTGTACTTCCAACAGCACCATATGTTAGTAAATTGGTCAAAATCTTTCCAACTTCCTCCTGGATTATTAAAATAGACTCCTAAATGCTTCCAAGTGCATACTCTTGCCCTCCAAATTCTTCTTTCAATATGGAATCCTGGGTGACACTTCTGAAATCAAAGTCAGATCATGTCGCTGTCTTGGTGATAAGTAGCACACCACCCATTTCATTCCAAATAAAGACCATTCATCTTAAAATGCCCCAAAAGGTCATACATACTCTTGTCTTCCATTACCTCTGTGAATTCATCCTTTGCTATGCCCTCCCCTGCTATAGCCACACTGATCTCTTTGGTATTCCTTGAACATGTTGGAGATGCTCCCCTCACTTTCTCAACAAGGTCAATTATGACAACTCAATTAAAAATTGTAACTCACTTTACAGTCCAGTTCTGATTCCTCTTACTATATTCTTATTTTTTCATATTTTGTTCTTTTTCATGTATGTGTGTGTGTATACACACACATATATGTATGTATGTATATGTGTATATGTGTGTGTGTGTGTATATATATATATATATATACATAATTTTCCAGCTCCTCACATACTAAAGAATCTACTGAGTATTTTCATTGATTAAAAAAAAAATCTGTTCAGCCTAGTAGAATATAAACTACTTGAGGGCAGAGATTCTCCTTGTTTCCTTTATTCTTTCCTCTGATTATTAAGTCTAAGAAATTCAACAGTGCCTGACACATATCAGGTACTTATCAAGGATATGTTGAATGTGGTGACCAATACAAGACTTGGGAATCTAAGCAGAAGTTTCCTTGATATCCTTGAGGCAGGTGTTAGATAGTAGTAAGCTATTAAAGAAATAGGAAGTAAAGAAATTGAAACAGCTTATGATTAGAAGCATGCCGCGAAGAGGAACAATATGAAGGAATCAAAGTAAGATATTTATTTCCCTTTTTAAAAAAGGAAGTAAAACATGTGATCATATTTGTAAATTTAAGGAAATAATCATTAGATATAAAGATGGTAACTGATGAAGCTATGTTTCAGAGGATACTTGAGAAAACCAAAGGCTCAAATAAAGAAACTGCCTTTGAACAGGAACAATTTGTATTCTTTCAGGAGTAAAATTGGTAAAAATAAATATATATTTATAGATTAAGGATCAGGACTTGGAAAAATTCCACTCCAGTTTATTTCAGTGTTATTAGTTAACGGAGGTTATGTGATAGGAATGGTGAGAAGAGAAGGAAGAGAGTAGGGTAACTGAACATGTCAAAGGGTTATTACTTAGCATAGAGAAAAAGGCTAAAGAAATAATATGTGCTAAAG